TTTAGTAGTGGGCAAACTGTTGGTGACCAACAGTGGTGAGCGAAACCAGTAGGAATGTACGACAAAATCTGATTCGAACGTCTTTGTAAACAAAAGTAGAATGTAACACATTTGTGCCTTTCTATCTGGACTACAACACTTAACGGGAATTCAAATGAACATCCAAACAATCCTAGTATCTCCATCAACTGAAATCTTGCATTTTCTTTTAGTTTGGTTTCTCTTATAGTTTATGATAGAGAGAGCAAATACAGTAATGACGGGGCTCAGATCGACGACGGAAAAGCTGGAAAGTTCAATTATGTATATGCAATCACATAATATGCTATTTCGAAAAAAACAAAACAAAAGACAGTATGCACGAATATGATCTGTGCTATAAAGACACAATGCCACAAAACATTCTTCTGATGCCGGCAGTTCCATAATCGATGCCACAAATAATTATTTTGATGCCGCTAAATCATTATTTAGTAGTTAGTTTCACTTAAAAATGCCACATCGCTGTTACTGTCATATATACAGTATTTATTCAAATCCATAGTGCTACATTAAGCAAATAACACCGAATGAACGGCAAGGTAAATACTACGTCAAATTATAGTAAACATGTACTGCGTGCGCGTACGGCACCTAATCGCCCAGCTTCACGCCACTACACGTCTTTCCCTAGGCCACCTGGCATCCCCGAAAAAGATGCTTAATAACCGAGCTTATTACGTGCAGAGAACACCCGTCCACGCGATCCGTGCCACACAGCGTGGCCAGAATGCGGCAAGGGCCTTCAGATCTGGCTGTACTAGGATGGTGAAATTAATGATACAGCATTATAACAGTGATTACGTAGTGCTACATTGATTTCTACGAAATACAATTGAAATATGTATTAAAATTACTTTTTTCACGTGAACCCAATAAATATCTAACGCCCATTATGCTACTGTAGATACGGGACACTACGACAAGTGCTTCAAAATAGGCTAAAATGTTACATGTTAATCAATGCAAGACATTTTATCGATACTGCGAAACATTTGTTTGATGTGACTAGATTTACAATCGATTTCACAAATCTGTTAATGGCTCTAAGTCTTTCGAACATTTTCAATCGATGTCCCTCAACGACAGTCAATTCATGGGCGTTTAAATCACATGTCAATAAATATCTTGCATACAGTTAAATAGTTTTAAGTTTCGAGTCCTCGTTTAAAAGCCGGTAAATAATAATGTATTTGGTATATGGTATGTAGCCCTGTTGTCATTTACATTAGTTGATCATACAATTAAATTAAATTGAATTATGAGGAAAACGACTCGAATAACTCACCCTTATAGTCAAACAGTTTACCTTAACAATTATAGATTAATCAATGAATTTGGATACATATTGTTTATTGTATGTGTTGACGTTATCAACAACTGCGCGACTGCTAAAATATAGCTTATCTGCCGTAGTTCTGTTTATTCTTTCGGTTAATTTTATTGTTGTATATCATTTCGTAACAAAACAATATATGTGCTTTCATGACTTAAAATATATAGTTCTAGGTATTACTAAGCGCTTAGCAATTGTGGTTTAACATTACTGTATTTAGTTTAATCGTAATTGGATATTTTAGGTATGGAAACTAGGCTTGTCAATTATTTAAGTCATGAACGTATTTGAGCTTTGTTCTAGAAGTCCTTGTCGAATCTAGTCATGTGTGATATGAAATTAATATATTATGCAACAATACATTTGGAAATATGGAAATCAAATTTGCCAAATATTTCAGACATTAAAGCCTATTACAGTCCATTAGTTTAAAGACAACTGTGGAACTGAGGTCAAATACTGCTGAATATGGTTATGTTATTATCACATTGATATACCCAGAACTTAGGTTTGTTAGTGTACATAAATTGTCAACAGTCTTTAGGTCTAATTTGTGAGTATACTAAATCAGCAAACGCGAAATGTCACAGGCATGTCAATGCGTGTGAACGCCCTCACGCAACATTACATGGTTTCCCAATGGTACTGAACAGAGAATGATTAATAGCTCATGTAACGTCACGAAGCAACCAGCCAATCACAGATTCGGTGTTCACGTCATTGCTCAATCTATTTACTCCGACGACAAAATATATGATACTCCAGTGATAATAAAAACGCTTTGACTAATGTTGGTCTCAGGTTTAAAACTTTCTGCTGATCACGAGCACTAAAAACGGCGAAAAAAGCACATGGATTCTTGACCTTTATTTTGTTTACCTCTATACAGAAAGTGAACTGAGCCATGCTAATTAATATTAATAAAACTGAGTAATGTCATTCGCTTGCATGAATAATATCGAAACTGTGCGGAAGTGAACAGTCACCAGGCCCACGGCCTTTGTAGTTTGCTGATTCAATTAGTATAATAACAAATTAGATCTAAGGGCTGCCAATAGTCTAGTTGTACACGATTTATATAACTATGTGGTCATTGCAAGTGTGTGTTGTACATTGTTGGATGTGGCGAGTCTCGATAAGGCACATTGTTAATATATTTGGCAATACAGTGATACACTATTGTATTTAAGCTTGGGTCAGGGGGTTGAATACCAGTCTCGTTTCAGTGTTGTTTGTTATTTTGACAACCACCATATGAACTTAATTTTGTATTTGATATGGTTTGTAACAAGGTCAATTGCAACTGTCCTAGCAAACCCCAAATAAACATAATACCATATAAAATCCACTAAATCTAAATGTGGAAATCTATTATTTAAAATCTTGTGGTCGATTAGGTTATCTAAGTCTACAAGACACAAAGTTGGAGTCAGTGCAGTTTAGTTCATCTGTGTAGGTATCTGTATTTATGGATGATTGTATATGTGTCTATTTACTAGCATCTCAAGAACTATTTAAATTTAAATTTCAATGAAGCCTTGTGATGCGCAGACCTATCTAGTCCTGATAAAAATTCAGTTAAAATTGGTGCATGTTGCTAATATATAATAGTACTACATTACTTCCAAGTAAAATTTCCGAAAGTGTGACAGGTGCATGTTTCCAGAATTATTTTTCTATGCAGTCGACGTGCTAGTAACAGGGGTTTTATTTTTCCAATTCATTTTCATTTTCCAATAGTAAGAATATGTTTAATAATTTGCACACTACATGTAATGTAGCATATTTAAGCTGTTTTTAACCATGGTATTTACCCATGAAAACAAGCGACAAAGTAAAGTGTAGTGGGTCAAATATTTCGGGTCAGGATGAGTGCCGTATTCAATTAAGGAAATTTGTCAGAACTAGTATGCATGTCTATTTTTAGAAAATTATAGTACGGAACGATAAGATAGACATGAATTTCAAAAGATGAAAAAGAGAAGAGACTGCTAACATGAATACTTTCATGGACAACTGGTTCAAAGAAATTCAGAAGAGAAAAAGCAGTCACAAGGTAACACTGAAGTTCAAGATATTATTGACCGGAACGAATTGAGTGCCCTCTTTGACAAGCTGTTGAAAATGTAAAAGTAAATGTTTTAAATTGGCATCTGTCAGAATAAGCTGATAATGAAACATTTATGTTTGCTTTGTTTATACATATTTCTCCCAAAGAGTGTGATAAACGCTAGACTGACTGTGCTATCGAAGAGAAAGATTGCTTATCTATGTATAATTACATATTTGATGAGAATGGCGATGATTTATCTGATGGATACGACAGTGGTACAGGTTCTAGATGTTTTTTTATAACGATGTAGACACTGAATACACAATTTTCTCAAATAATAGTGATCAGGTAGATCAAGTTTGCATTAAGCTCAACAAACTAATAGATTATATTAAAGTACCTAAAAACACAATAACTATTGTTCATCCTCTTAATGATTTACCACATCATGAATAAAACAAAGAAGTTTTTGAGTTTTTAACAAATTATTAATATAAAATATCTTGGAGCGACGCAGCTTGAATTTTGTGATTGGGCGGAAGAAGGCAGATACTTAAAGATTTAATTTAGTCTTCTCGTAGCAAGTCACATAACGTTTCTACAGCTTGTGCAACAGACATTTGTACTATGAAACTATAGCTAAAGACAGTTATATAATTGAGTGATGACGTGATACATTGATAGATAATCAAATTGTTACAATTGCATCAGTTAAACTAAAAATAGTGGTCCTGCTTTGAAATCTGCCATTTTGTTTGATACATTGCAACATACATATAATATACTACGAGAAAATAAAACAATAACTGATATCACATGTTTAGCAAATCCTGAAACCACTGTGATAAAAGAGGAAAATGGTAATTTTATAATGAAAACAGAAAATGACGTCGGTATATCTTTTAGTGTACAGTACAAACCACAGTTGTGGAATATTGGACCCGAAATGAAAACTCAGTTCTACAAAAACTTGCATAAAATGTCTAAATTATCATGGTCAAGAAACAA